AATCACATGGCTAGTAACTTATAAAAAATTTATTTAAATTTTTATTTTTAAGCCGTGCAATATTTTTGTCCCCCCCCGGTACTTGATATTCAGCAGTGATCTTATCATCCAAAACTTTAAAGTGATCCCATACATGACTTTATTATTAGAATTCTCAATATGAAGTCAGCTTTGTTCTTAATTATTAATGCTATCTTCTATACGTAAACATTTGTACCTTTAAAAAATTTGGAATTTTTAAGCAATAATTACATTATTTTTATATATTTAATAAAGAAAAAATTAACCTTTATTGGTTTTACGGCCTTGACCTCGCATTTTATATATAGTATGATTATCAAAATTGGCATTTTGCAAGACAATATCAATAAACAATCATTTTGATAAAGAAAAATATATTTAACTATATATATATAGTCTAACGATTATCAATATGTTTACTATCATATATAGCTGCGTAATATATGCTGATTTTATTTAAATCTGAATATGTCAACCTTATTCGAATAAATGACTTTATTTGAATAAGATTGTCTTATTCAAATATGATAGCATATTTTGGATTATTCGCCAAATAATTATTTGAAAAATTTTTTTATCTTATTCGAATACTCATCAAATATGAATATTTGTCAAATAACGAATATGAATCTGAAGCTCTACTAATGAATATTACAGTGAACTAACTTATCATATTATATGTAAAGATCCTCTTAATTATAGAACTCTAATAGTATCTGTAAAAGCATAGATTTCATCATATGAGATCGATCACCTAAAATACGCTAGCAAAACTCTTGTCAAAAATAAAGGCATTAGCATAAAAATAAAATAATATGTATTCTAGACTACATTCTGAATATTTGTATTTATTTTTTGCATGTATCAATAAAAAATTTTCTTGGCAAAAGTTGCTGACTATTGGTCAGGATGTCATGTAAATTTTTCAATTTTGAATACTAGCATAAATAGTATTATATTTAACAGGCATGCAATTAAAAATAGATTTATTGAGGTAATATTTCACCAAGCTAAGTACATTAAAATTAAGGCAGAAAAAGTTGAGCTTAAGATCAGGAATACTGAGATTTCTGAATTGAGAAAAAAGGTTGCTGAGATCAAGGCTGAAAATGTGAAATTAAGACATATTATTAAAAAGAATGCTAGGCGTGATACTGAGAATGCTGAGCATAAGGCAGAATTGAGAAATTAGAAAAAAATAGTGCAGATACTTCAGCTGAGAATGCTAAACTTAAGGTTAGAATTGCGAAATTGGAACAAGAGTCCAGACAACCACAGAATGATTTCTCTTACAAGAAATATGTTGATATAATAAAGTCTGTTACAATCTATTTGCCTGTTTGTGAAATAAATGATGCAGTATCAGAAGTGCAGTTATCTATAAATAACCCTGTACCTACCAGCTTTAAGTTATCAGAAAATAGAAAGACAGATGCTTTCTTGGATAAGGTGAACAAGAAAAATGTTAATGATAATATAAGGCAAAGAAATAGAAAGAAGAAGCTTCAGTGTAAGTTATCTAAAAATCAAACCCAAGACTTATCTAAAGTGAATATTTCTTCAGCATCTAAAGTCACATTAGAAGTTGTGACCCTTATAACCTTTGATCAGACTCGATCACAAGATGCTGATTCTTTGTCTCCTTTCAGCTTTTCAGAAAACAATCATATTTCATACAGTTCATTTCAGGAAACTCTTCTCTACCTATTATCTGAAAAGTACCATACAATTAAAAGTTAAGCAAGGTATAATTCAGAAAGTTATTTTATTATTCAAAAAGAAGCACTTACTTCATCAAGTAATACTTTCAAATTCAATATTGTAGTAGCTGATGGAGAAGATTAAGATTTAGCTCAATTATTTTCCGATATTAAAGACACAAAAGGCAAAATGATAAAGCTAAACAAAAAGAAAATGTACACTGGTATATTTATAGAGAATCATACGAAAATAAGGTTGCAGAAATTTACTCTAAAATTGGTATAGTCGAAAAAACTGTAAAGTCTCAAGTTTACATAATGATTAAAGCTTCTTTACCCAAAGTTTTAGATTCAAATCTATATAAGAAGATCCAAAGAGCTGGGAGTGTTTATAAGCTATTTGGAAAAATTATTAATCTTACAATTAAGAAAGAAATCAAGAGAATAAGTATTGACAAAGCTTATGGGATTTCATACAATGTAAGAAGTATATCAGAATTAACTGATTCTCAAATCTTAAATATTATAGATCAGGTAACGAACGAAACACATAATATCCTAATCACTGGTCAGGAACAAAATCATATGACCAAAAAATCTAAGACTAACAAAAAATCTTGTTTGAAGTAAATGCATCATCAAAGCCTCAAATACCTAATCATGTTTTTGCTAGAAATTCTGAAACCAACAAAGTTGTTGTATATAATGCTTGTACTTTATATATTAATGTGACTTTGAATAAATATCCCTATATAATAGTTACAGACATAATAATAGGTATAAATTTAAGAGTTCGGGCTTATGCCTTGAATATGAAAAAAAGTATGATAAAGGAAAAGTAGTTGGCTGATACATAAAGGGTTCTTATTACATTAAGTGCTAGTTCTCGTTAAATAAAAAAGAAATCAAGATAAATGCTTTACCAGAAATGATTTCATCAGCCATATCTAAAGCAAGTGTATTATCTGTATCCCAATTTAAATTAACTTATGACTGATCCTATTTTTGCAAAAACATATTGGATCAATATTCTAATCTATATAAAGAACATAGTAGTGAAAATTTCGATTATTATAGGATTACTGAAGAAACATTATGCAAGATTTTGAGAAAGACCATCTGCCTATTATGCAAATTAGGTCATGATAATGAAGAAATAGAAGATAGGTATAAAGCTGGATCTTACTTTATTAAATGTTAACAGCATGAAATTGAGATACTTGCATAATTCTTCCTGCTTTATAAGCGTAGAAGATGATCTATTTTTTTGGAAGTATGATAAGAAATATTAGACAGCTTTCTATCTGAAAATTTTTAATCTTTTTCTGAATTAATGAGAAAAAAGTGATTTAAATTGATTTGCGATTATATAAAACAGCAACATGACTAAGTTTGATAAAGAATTAACATCTGAGTATCTGGATTGGCATGCTAAATTAAGTTGTTACCAAGTGTTTTAGCACTTCCTATACTTGAAATTCCAAAATAGTTTTAGAGAGTTGATAATTATAATTTTGCATTACCTCAACCATGGAGCTCACTATGCCTTATCTGCAATGGAAGCATGGGAATTATGGATTACATGGTGAATGGTATAGAAATGAAACGGAATATTGTCTTACCTGCAACAGTTCAAGCAATAAATTCAAGTTTGTAATTGTAGCATAGAAACATCATCATTTACAACCAGTTAGTCTCACATGTATTTATTTTTTTATTGCTCGCATGTATTAATAAAATACTCTCTTTACACTTTTCACCTGATTTAAATACGTCTAGGCAGGTATGTATTAATCACTTTTTTCCAGTATATACCTAATATATGGATTAATGTTAACTGTTAATGATTAAACCGATGTCCCCTTGTTGATAGGTAGCATCTATTATGAATTTAAGGAGGCGAATTGATTTGATTCTCGTGATGCGGTCATAAAAATCAATCCTTAGGGATATTGCCTTGCGCAAGTAAAATAAAAATTGATCAAAACTAATCAAAGCAATCTAAACAATATCTAAACATACCATTATTTAATATACTAATACTTGCTCTTAAACTGTGCATATTTCGGCTTGCAGAACTTAATCCTTTATGTGGTCTGTAGTGATATAGAGAGACAAAAATCCCGTCCCGCTTCTTACATATATGTTCGAAACCAGTGAAAAATTAAATCATGTGTGCGTTCCATTTTGGAACGGAGATTTTGTAATCTAAAATTTATATTGGTAAGACTATATTATCCGAAAGAAATGAGCGGACAGACATATAGGCGGGATAGATTATTTCGGTATTCTGGTAAATTTTAGGGACCTAATTCTCCACGTGACTAAGTAATCAAGCAAAAGTTACACCATAGTCGTATGTGTAACATCAAGTTCTTTTATATCTTTACGCGTCGCATTTAAAAGTCAATTTACTTATTGATGCTCTTTAATCTTCCTTTATGGCTAAAAAAAACAAATGACTTTCTACTTGGTTACGCTCCGGCGTTATTGAACAAAACACTAAAGATACTTTAAAGTCAACCTTAGACAAACTACATAGCATCTGCCCGTTAAATATTTCTTGATCTTCGTTACACGACTCATTACATGATAATTTGTATCATGATGAAGCCTTCCGTCAAAATCCGGCTCATACAAAAATATTTAATTGATTTGAGGCATCCTCTCAAAAGACTAGGTCAGCTAGGCCAGTTGCGATTTTCAAGAAGACTAGGTTATATTCGTCTGTTGTTGGGCAACAAGATTCAAGTAGTGCGACTATCAACAATTACAACAATAATGGTAACAAACGTATTCGTGAGGTCTCTCCACCAGTAAAGCAAGCATTCTCTTTTACTGCTAGCGAACAAGGAGCGGTCGTTGAACCGCTTCTTAATTTAGTTGAGAAAGCGATTTATAAATTTCTTATTGAAAGTGAAGGTTTTGTTCCCCTCGATGTGGTGAAATCCTTCTGTGCCAAACAACACCCTCCTATTAGTACTGACTTTGAGGACGCCGATTTGCTATGTATGATAAATTTTATTATAGAGAATATAAAGCTTTTTTTGAAACAAAGAAAGCCATTATTTCATGGTAAATATAAATCAAATCCCGTTGAGTTATTGAGCAATTTTAAGAAAAATGTGCGTAACAAAATGGCGCACGGAATTGTCGTTGACGAAAAAGGTCGATGGAGCGATCACGAACTTCAGCACGTCTCTCTTCTAGCTTGTGAGGTTGTAATTTGTCTTGGTAAGTTTTTCTTAAGAGAATAACTTGACTCCATCTAAAAACATAAACTGAGCTTTTTATATTTGATGTTAGGTGGAGACTACAAAGAAGTATCGTCCAACAAAGAAAATATTGATAACGAAGTAGTGCAACGATAGATCAATAAAGCCGATAAAGAACACTCTCACCCACCACAAAAAAGGAAACTTGACGATACAAATTTGGGAAAGATTACAGAATTCGTTCTTTATATTCTCGAGGAAACTGAGGAGATAGAGAAGGGGGATAAGCGGAAGATTCTAAGATTGGCATTGAATGAAGACGAATATCTAATAAAGCTCTGGAGAGCAATCAAAACAGAAAAAAAACAAGTACAAATTTGTAAATTTATCCAATCTGCGAATTTGATGTTTGACGTTGTAAGTATTTGATAATTTTTCTTGTATAATAAATTCATATTGTAAGCTAACTAAGCTAACTGTTTTATCTACAGAACTTGAAATCGAAAACTCAGGTATATTTATATAAATGGGAATGTGGTATGGGGAATAAGTTCTCGCGTAGTCACGTCTAAAGTCGGCGTGGGGGCGCAGCTTATTCGGTGAGCAATTCAGTTTGCTCAACGGGTAGGTTTAAATTGACATTGGCTGAGAGATTATATTGTGGTTTCTCAGTCTCTGTTGGACTCGTTGGCTTAACTGAGGATAAACGAAGCTACTTATTTTGTATACTACTGTACCTGCAAACCTTTTTGCTGATTTATGTTAGCATTTCTAACCATTTTTATAACTTCACTTTTCAGGATGTGAACGCTAAACAGCCTCTCGAAACGATGAATCTGCTAATGCTAAATTCACCCAATAATTAATTATTACATTTATGTCAAATAGTTTACTTTTAGTTCGAAACATTTTATTATTAATAAGATTGAATCATTTTTTTTACTTGTAATGGAATAGGAAAAATTATATCGCGCAACATATTTTTAGCATTGAAATAAACTGCTTCATTATTTTATTATATCGCACAAGATATCAATGCCCACATATGATCAAGGTTCTTTTCTAATATTAATAAAAACTTGAAGTGAGTTAGGTCATGTATTTTATTTGCCGCTGTTTCTTCTGCGCAATTTTGACATCAAAAAAATAATCTAGTCATATGCACAGTTATTTTGGCAGTCAATTTAACCGGATGCTGATCCAGCTTTATGCACAACCCGCCATCAGAAAAAATAATATTTTTTGCACGTGCATTTTATTCCTAATCATTTTCCCGAAATCTGATTGGCCGATCATCTTGTGATTTATAGAAACTCCTAGAACTATCGTGGAACTGGCAGGGAACTAGGGGAGAGATCTCATGTGATACGATATACAGTCATCACCAATTTAGCCGAAGGCGCTGTGCATATGCATGTAAATATAAAATTAGCTTAGCCCGAGATATAGCCCTATATAAATCCCAATATGCTTATAATCGAATAAAAATGAATCTGATATTTATTAGAGTATAATATTGCTAAATCAGCTAAAATCGCTATAAATCAATAAATTCATTATAATCTGTTATAATCTACTAAAACGCTAATATGTATTTAGATGGTAGAGCCTATTCTAAGATATTTGAAGTAAGCTATGGTGATGTAAACTTTGAAAAATATAGGAAAATAGTTGATGCAATATGGTCTTTATCACATATGCGTGACTATGAAACACCAGAAATGTGATGATTTCGTATTCATGGCCCATTTAGGAAAATACTTGAAGAGAATTCAGAAATTCTTTCTAAAAAATGGGTATATTTCAATGTGTGAAAAGTTATATGAAAGTGATAAAATTCATGCTCATCCAACCAATTATATATATTGTAGTGTATATGATTCCTTAGTTTCATTCCTGAAACTTCTTTTAGCACTTGTATCTATCAAGATAACCACTTGAAGAGATGCATTTCTGAAAATAGTATTTTGAATGAACATGCAAGAAGAAAAGAAATTCTTAAATCTATTGATAGAAGGAAATTTGAAATTTGGCAATACAAACAATACATATTATGAGAAGAGGCGAAAATTAAGCGTCTTCAACTCAACTAGAGCTTTTCTCCCAATCTACTCTACATTCAGAAAAGGATAAATTGGCATCAGTATCATATGATTATGATACTAATTTAATTACCTATGAAACATACAAGCAGGTTAAAATGACTATAGCAGAAAATATTATGTCAAGTGTTCCAAAATTTGAGCCAGCTTATATTTCAGCTGCCAGAAAAAAAATGGTTTCACCAACTTCTTATCAATCATCAAATTGCAAAAGTAATACAAGTGAAATATTTATCTTGTCTCAGTATACAAAATAAAATAACTTACTACTATCTATAAATAATCTTAATCAGCTTATATTAAGATTAAGAGATGAGACAAAAATCACAATTGTTTAATTAAAATAAACAATTACTTTTTTGATATAACACAATTTATTGGACTATGATTTATCAATTTTTTTTTTGCGAAATGAATAACCCAGAATATTATCTTAATAAAATAATATATCTGATATTGTTTAACTATACGAAGCACCTTATAGCCAATACATATTAGCATGTATAACATAAATTATCACTTTTTTGATCCTCATTAAAGTATATATGATATAATAGATTATACTCTGCAAATCATCTGTGAAATTATACTTATGTGATAAAATAATTTTACACATAAATCAAATTTTTTCCTTAGCTGAATAATATTTGGCAAAATAACATTTACTGATATAAATATTTGCTTCAGAGTAATAGACTATTTTTATTATATTGTAATAAACTAAAAAGTTATCTTATAGGTCACATGATTTTTACCTTGTTATAAAATCCATCCAATCAGCTAAAATTGGCAGATCCTTAAAATCTACCCAATCAACCAAAACTGGCAGATCTGTGGAAAATGCCAAATCTGCCAAATCTGCCATTTATAGCAGATCTGCTATATATGTAATATATGTCAGGTATACGATAAAAGACCAATTATTACATTTCTTATTGTTATTTATATTTTTATTATTATTATTATTTTATTTCTTATAAATAGGGTAGTTTTAGAACTTCATAAATGACAGAGAATTTACTTAGTTTTATCATTAATAAGATAATTACTAAAACACTTGTATGCAAACAAATACATTTGTAATAATTCTTTTCTTTAATAAAACTCTAAATTACTTAACCCATAAATTACACTTTGTTTCTAAAATACATTTGATTAATAAACCTTCAAAAGCTCTCTATAAATCACATTGTAAAGTCTTAAAGCTAAATCCTTTGTTAATCTTGCGTTAATACTAATTTTCAGTTATTAGTATCATAAGATAACAGTACTATCATAATAATTTTATTTTGAGAATAAGCCAACTGCAAATTGTGATAGATCCCAATGAGACTCAGAGAATTGAAAAAATATCATATTGTGTAATATATATTATCGTCCAATTGGGTATTATTCTAATCCCAAATCCTTGTTGAAAACACTTAAGACAAGTGATGCATGTAAAAAAGAAGGATATCAATTCTACCTAAGTGAATGCAAAATTTTTTTAGAAAATCAAGAGTCATATCAAACTAACAAAATCTCTCCAAAATACATCACTAGAGTCAGCTATAGATAAATAACATGCTCCAACTGTATACATTAATGCAATATACTATTTTTTACTCATGATTACTATAGAGGTAAAAAATATAAAGTAGTACTTAACATTATAGATTACGCTTTCTGATATAAAGCTTCTATTCCACTCACATCGAAGAATAGCTCAGAAGCTGACAAAGCATTCAAAAAAATTTATGATGATCCTAGTAATCCTCTTACCTATCCTAAATTACTTTAAATAGATAATAGACGAGGATGAATAGGTGAAACCTCCCGATTGATGCAAGAGCATAATGTCACAATTTGAGTGATTAGTTCATATTCCTATTGAGGTCTTGCATTTATAGAGTGTTTCATTTAAATACTCTCAAAGATTCTATACAAGATTTAGTATACTGTTGAATCAATATCTTCTAATTCTAAATTAATAAGAGCATAGGGTAGATATTTGTCAGAAGCTATTGATTATCTAAATAACTATCCTATGTAAAGATGGGAACTGTAATTAATATGTTGCAACTTTTAATGTTGCAACTTACGTTGCAATTAGTTTTAACCTATATATGTTGCAACTTATAATGTTGCAACATATGTTGCAACTAATTTTAGCTTATGTTGCAACATTTTGTAAATTTGAAATCAATTGCTGTACCATCTTTAATCCTATGTGTCTTATTTAAGAACCAGAATCAGAAAAGTGAGGACTCGAGCCTGTAAAAGCTATTGCATTAGAACGAGTCGAATCTAGACTATCTATAAAATATAAGTATCCAGTTAAAAAAGATGAAATAATATTAAAGAAAGAAGATACTGTTCGCTATTTACTTGCCAATGAAGAATGGGAAGGGATATGAAAAATCAGAAAAGAACTACAGATTTTACCTTTAGTCCAAATCTTCATAAAATCTGAAAAGTTATCATCATAAAGAATGAACCAGTTTTATATTATCTTGATAGAAAATACGTATCATCTCATGGATTTATGTGAGAAGAACTTATGCTAATAGCTGATCCAAAAAAGTTGGGTATTCACTCCAAAGTATATTATCTGTGCATATTGCTTATAGTTTCCAAAAGGAACTAGAACAAACTATTGATTATACCAGAAGACGTGATGGTTAATCTCTAGAAAGGATTGGGCAAATAAATGGTCATGGTATATATTTTTAATCTTGTAAAAATAGTGTACACTAGTAGGAATATCCATTAAAATATATTATGAAAAATTCAAATGATGTCTTCTTTACCATTATCGAAGTGGTAAACACCAATGCTAATATACTTTTGAGATTTACTAGGCAAGAAATTCCTATCTTGTAGACTATCATTCTTGAATGGAATGCATTTAGATAGCTATAATGAGGAATTGCGTCTTGCGTTTGAATTTCAAGGCTCTCAATACTACCATCAACAAAAGATACATGATCAGAAGAAGTAGAATATTTGCAAGAATCAAGGAATATGCCTTATTGAAATTTCCTATACAGCTAATCTTCTATCCTATATTAGACATACTCTAATCAAGAAAGGATTCTTAAATAGTTCTTCTAGTTAGGTCAGAGAGTATTATTTTCTTGGCATTTTTTTTGAGATTGCAAATCCCACAAATTTATTAAGAAATTTATTTTGATGTATAATACTATATGAAATTCTTTGTATATAATATTGATAAGATCCTCAAAAAATCTTTGAAGTGCCTGAAAGGCAATAAATATTCTCCAAACTGGTCTTTTCATATGGCAGTCACTGGTGGTTCACATAGTGAAAAAACTAATATGATTATAAATCTTTTTCTAGATAATAAATTTCAGCACATATTTAAAGACAAAAAGTGAGATATATATATTAAAAATGATGATCTCATTTTAGTTGGAAAGTATGCTGAGCCAAAATGGAAGCTGGTAAAAAATGCTATTCATATTTTTACTAATAACCCTGAGCCATATCAGGAAAATATATCATTCCAAACAATAAGGCAGAAAAGATCCCAAATATAAGTAAATTCTTCTCTAAAAGAAGTACTGTTATTGTTTTTGAAGATCTTTGCACTGAATCAAAAAAAATACAAGAGCGAATTATTTCTTATTTTATTAACAGTTGGTATCAAAACATCTTGTCAATACCATAGAATACTGTACAAGATACTCTGTGTATAAATCAATTTTTTCAATTTAAAAATTGATTCATACTTATAGATATCTTGTGAAAAGCAGGGTATAATAATCAGTTTGGTATTTTAATAGGTGGGTATTATATCGGAGGCGTATATTGTAAAGGAATTACAAAGTATAAACTAATCTTATATAATTAACACAGCATACAGATATATATAAGGTACAAACTAAACATATATAGTCTATACTGATAACCTATATAGTATACTAGCAATAATATACAATATATTTAAATATAATAAATAAAGCATACATTCGGCATTTCACAATTATCCTTTTTACTTTCTTTTGTTCAAAAAAAATTTTTCTTAATTTATTTTAAATGATTTAACAATCTTTTTTTAAGAATTTTATTGTAAAATTATCTTTTTTTTTACATAAGTTGCATTTATTTTATCGTAATAAGTAATTAATTGAGTGAAAACTTAATTAATTAGTTTAGCAAGTTTTTTTGCCTTTTATTACAGAAAATTATATTTATTAATTCGTGATACGTGACTTAACTGCAAAAAAATGTTGATCATCTTTAATATTAACGATGATAATTGTTATTATTTTTTTAAGGCGTTTTGAGAATCTCTCACTTTTTGGACAACCTATCTCAAAATATTAGTCAAATACATTGGTAGAGGTTTTTTTTGGGTTGAAATATATCTTTTTTTACCTAATAAATATCTCTTTTATCTGAAAGTAGACTTTTTTTAAGTTTTGTTAAAGTAATAATTATTTTAAACCCATTTTTTTACTTGAAATTTATTAAATAATGGGCAAACAAAAAGTATATCAAGTTTGTTTGGTTTCTCCTGGTGTTTTAGATGAAAATTTACATTATGGACCATTTTCTCGAGATTGGTGGGAAATACGATGCATAAATGGAATTTCTAACTTATATCCTATTCGTATAAATATGAAAATCTTAGTTATTCTTCAAAATATACATTTATTGTTACTGATATTCAAGGCCACCTTAGCTCTTTACAACAACCAGGATATATTTGTGAAGCAGAAGGTTCAAAAAGTAATATTTTTAACAATCCTTCGGCTGCCATAACTACACTTTATCAAAAACTTTTTAAAAATAATACTAGGTTCTCTGGTCCTCTTATTATGGATCATGATAAAACAGAAATTAGTGAACAACTTTTGGTGGGAGTTATTTTTCGTCCATTTTGTTGTTTTCTTGAAAAGTTTTGGTTATTTGTATATGGAATTGGTGTATTATCTGAAGAACAATTATATTATGCGGGTCCAGATTTTAAGTCTTCCTTTATATATTCAACTGGAAAAGATAAAAAAAGAACTTTATTTGTACAAGAGATAAATAAAAAAAATTCAACAATAAAAATGTATCAAGATTCTGAATTACGATTTACACATGTTGAAAATAATCCTAATGATGTATGGCGAAAAGTTGGTATATTACAACAATATAAAGGCATTGATATATTTGGAATCAGCCATCCCCAAGTTCAAACATTTATTAAAACACTACTTATACCTAGATGTCAGCCTGAAGAATGGCATATTATTAATAAAATGCAAGTCTTATGGAATTATCACTTGCAAAAATTTACATTAGCTTCTGTTCAATGGAATGAATTTTTTATTGAATGATATAATGAAATAAAAACTGTTATTGAAATTACCACCTCTTTAAAAAAAATTTATCCACTCAATTATATACTTAAAGAAAGAGAAGTAAGAGCGTGACGAACAATGTTGAGTCATGCTGGATGTGTCAATATTACACCTTATACAAAAGAAATATCACCGGTAAGTAAATTTTTAAAAATTGATTTATAAAAATTATAGTAATTACTTACATATAAATTTTGGTAGTACGAATTTTGGACGCGATCTAGTGATCCTATATGTGACTGTGAAATCTTACACTTTTTATATGTATCTGGATTTTTGCATCCATTTCCTAGCCAATATTGCAATGATAGCGATACCTTTTGGAATTGTTTTCATCAAGCATTAGAAGCTAATAAAAGAGAATATGATGGAAAAAGGAGGATTTTTTCTATTATAGCGGAAATTTTTTCTTATGATGTTTTGATGAAAAGATTGAAAGTAAGTACAAAAACTAACAAAAAAAAATTAAAATATATTAATAATATATGCCTTCAAATAGGTCGCACAAAGGTACAATTCTTAAAGTAATAAAATACGCAAGAATAAATGGTCCTGGTTATATAATAATAGAAAAACCTACTAGAAAAGTCAAAAGAATTACTTTTGAACAGCAAAAACAATTTGATTCTTTTTTTCAAGATAAAGCTCATGTTATTATGAGTTTTTATAAAATGGATACCAAAACAGGAAAACCAGTTGTTTATTTAAAAAATACAAAAAACATATTGTGAGAAAAATTCAAAGATTCTTTTCCAAATGAAATTAAGCGCACAACCTTTTACACTCAACTAATGGGACAACAATATGTTTACCGGAAAGATCTTGGAGGATTGTGTTCTACATGTAGCATATATGGATATGAAACATTTGAAGACATCATGAATTTAATAAAGGAAAAAATAAATGATATAGAGTTGCAGGTATAATCAATTATTATTAAAATTATAGAAAATTTGATATACATACTAATAATAAACAATAAATTTGTAGGGCATTTTTTCTTAATGTTTTTGTCTCTTAAAACGCTATCTAAAAAAAGAATATGAGGAACATTTAGTTATAACTGATCGTGGAATTATATCTCATAACTCATGTATAAATCATTGCTTATTGTATACATTTGGTGAGTGTAATGCATCTCATACTTATGCTTGTAACAAATGCCAAGAAATATTTTGGTTTTTTCAAGATTTAAAAGTCAAATTGGATTCATCATACCATGAAAAAATTCAAGAACTTCAAGATTGTATTCTTTATTACCTTACACATCAAACGAGAAAGACTTACTTAAATGCACAGTTCAATGCGACTCTTTTGGATTTAAATGAAGATGAAGTAATATTAGTTATAGATTATAAAATGAAAATATTACCCAAAACTGCACGTGAAACTAAACAAGAATTTTTTGGAAAGAAGGGCTGGACATTACATACAGTATTATTATATACTAAACCTAAAGATAGTTCTGAAATCAACATACAAGCCATTGATCATTGGTCTACGGATGGTCACTAAGATGCGTGGTTTTCTGCATCATCATTACACTCTGTAATAGAAAATTTTGAAGTCAAACCAAAATGGATCAGTATAATCTCTGATAATGGTTCACATTATCATAATTCAGAACTTATGATTATAATAAGCAAATGGTATGAGTGGTATGGAATTCAGGTAAAAAAATGGATATTTTTGGAAGCAGGTGAAGCAAAGACCATTGTGAACTCACATCACGTCCAGGTTTGTAATATAAATAATAATAATTTCTTTAAAGAAACTTACTTATAATAAAATTTTAGATATCACTATCAATAAAACGATATATTCGGATTGGTGGAGAAATTCAGGATGGCAATGACATTACAACGGTTATCAAGAATATTGCTGGTACTTCAGTTGCTCACATAGAACCGAATCGCGTTAAAGGTAAGGACTAAGCTCTAAATTAACAAAAAAAAATTAATTAGTAACAAATAAATAATTTATTATCAGAAAATAAAAAAGAAAAAGTAAAATCTATGACTATACCTGGTATATCCAATTGGTTTGAGTGGACTTGGCCGATTAAAGGTGAAAATGCTAGATATATAAAAGCACAAGCTATACCAAATCTTGGAAACTGGTCATTATTTTCTCCTACTCAGATTCAAAATTTTATAAATGGTGAAATCAATTAGCTATTACCACAAATATCAGAATCAACAAAGTCAAAATCTTCATGGAAAATACCTGTTCCACATGCATCAGATAAAATGATGTATATTCTGAAATTACTTATACCAAATATTGCTGATAGTGGTACTTATTAAGCCTAATTTTTTTTTCAGAAATTAGTTTTTTACCGGTGATAGAAATATTAGACTTCAAAATATTATCTATAATTACATATCCCTAATTATATTGGCATATTAGGAGTTTGTCTAAAACGATTACTATTACAAGAACTAACAAATGAGTTACAAAATCGAGGAATTAATTATGGAAATCAGAATAATAGACAGAAGTTAGTAGAAATTTTAGATAAAGAATTAACAAAAGAAACTTTAGAGAATGAAGGTAATTATATACATATATGTTTGCGATATTTTTAACTTGTAATAAAATTTTCTAGATTTTTTAGGATCACGTCTGAGAAATCGGAATACATCTAATAAAGAATACAACATAAGGTAAATTAGATATATTTTTGACTCAAATATATGTATAGGTCTAAATATTT